TCTTGGGTTTTTTTGTTTGGTTGGTTGGTTGGTTTTTGTTTTTTTGTTTTTGTTTGTTTGTTTGGCTGGCTGGCTTTCTGGGGGGGGCGGGCTGCCATGTGGTTTTTCAGGGAGTCTTGCTAGAGTTGAGTCCTCCTACCCCCATCAAGGGGCTGGGCTCTGAGGAAACCGGTTTTTCAGGCTTTTGTTCTCTGGAGGTTTGTTTGTTTGTTTGTTTGTTTGTTTGTTTTTTCTCCCCTTGGTGACTTTTGGCAGTTCTTTGGAGGTTTAGAGGAAAGCAAACTGCACCCAGACCTCCATCTCAGTGAGAAGCCTCAGTCTGTTCCCCTGTGGGTGCTCCAGAGCACCTAAATTCCCCCCTGTCACTGGCAGAGGACATCCCCAGTCATGGTCTCTGAGGTCACAGGAACACCCACCTGTACCCAAAACCACGAGAAATACTAGCCGCGGCTGCCTGGGCAGGTCCAGACACCAGAGAGGTCCCAACCAGAGAGAACACACTGAGATTTTCATGCTGGCCCAGGCTGGGAGTGTTCACAATCTCCTGGTCCCAGATAGTGCCAGCTAGCACCTGCATGGAACTCTCTCAGACCAAGGTCTGAGTCATGCAGTGTGCATCCAGAGCACAAAAGGCTGTGGTTCAAGAGAGCACAGGCTGGCGTCCAGACCAGACTCCCTCATAGGCACCACCATCCAGCCACTCTCGGGCACACCAGCGGCTCAGGGACCAAGACCTGATTTCTTTGCTAGCTCTCTGGTTCCTGGTCAGCAGTGGCTATCCTGGGTCCTTGGGCTTAAGTCCCTGTCCCTAACTGCCCAATTCCATCAATTTCCCCTTAAAATCTTTTGCTCCTTTTGAGTGCTTTCAATAAGACTCCAAGTTAATGCTGGTCCCCAATCACAGGGCACTGTCGTATTGGGATATTACTTTCCAATGTGTTGCTTCTGGTGGCTCCCTCCCCCTTTTGTTTATCTTCTGATATCAGTCTGATGTTCCCACTCCACTTTACCTGTCCACTGGTGTCTTCTGCCCCCATAGAGATCCAGAAGTGTATAATTCTAATCTCAGACTGATTTCATGGGTGATCAGAGTTCTTTGGTGGGTAATCAGCTCACTTTAGGGGACAGGTTGAGACAGTGCCTCCTACTTCTCCACCATTTTGTCTCCTTCTGTTTTGCCATTTTAACCCATGGAAATACTAGAAAAGTTTGGCAAGGGGAAATTACACAATTTTGTGGCTCTAAGTAGTTAGTAGAGGACACTGAGAACAGTAAAGACTGAAATCCATCATGGTCTAAGTGACATTCCAACACATGTGGTCCTTACAGCCAACTTCCCCAGGAAACGGTCCCTGGTTGCATTTAAATTCAATCGGGTACTAGTTTCAGCTGTCTCCCAGTGGAGTTCCCACAGTCAGAAGCAGCTGGACCAAGGATGTGGACAGATCACATTAGATCAATCAGGAGGAAACCTCACACAGCAGTCTTAAGATTGGCAGCCATCCTGAGGACTTAGGTGGCTATCTTGTGCCCAAGACAGATAACTTTATATAAGAACAGGAATAAAGAGAGGGCATCAAGTTTCTGGGTCTTATTACCATTCCAGCCAGGGTACTAACTTCCAGCCAAAAGGCAGACATTCTCCTCCCCACAAAGTAGCCATGGGCTAGAAGATTGCAGCCTGAGCAATTGACATGAAAGTGTTAATAAGACCATACTCCTTGAAAAACCCCTGAAATGAGACTAAAGGAAGAGGAGAGATAGTTCTCACAAATTTGGAATGAAGCTCAGAGTCCAAATGTAAAGATTCACAGCCCCACATTGGATACCAAATGATGAAGTTTTAGAACATAAGTGAGGTTTGGTGGGGTGAGGTCTGAAGCCAATGACCAAGAAAGAATCCTTGAGACATCTTTGGTGCAAAATGGTGGTTTATTAAAGCATGGGGACACAACCCGTGGGCAGAAAGAGCTGCTGCCCCAGAGTTGTGAGGGGTGGCAGGTTATGTACCATGGGGGTGGGGGAAGGAAAAGCGAGGTTTCAATAGAACTTTCATGTGCTAAAAAGGACTTATAAGATACCAGAGGCCTTGGGGCCTTGCCATTGTCAAGGTCATTTTTCCCTCTAGCAAGGTATTAAGATAATTGGGAGATTCCTAAAGAATGTCATAATATGTCCCACCCAGGGATGGGGGTGGGGGAAGGTTGGAGGGTGTCAGCTTTTGCTTTGTCCTCAGCCAGCCTTCTGCTCCCTCATCAATATAATCAGTATTTTTAATGTAGCCATTCTAGTAGATATGCTTTAATACTGAGGTTTTATTTTGCATTTCTCTAGTGATTAATGTGTCGAGTAATTTTTCATGTGATTATTGGCCATTTGTATACCTTCTTTTGAGAAGTGTCTGCTCAAAACTTTTTGTCCATTTTTGTACTGGTTGTAAGATTTGTTTAGATACTCTAAATATAAGTTCTTTGTCTGAGAAATGTACTGCAATATTTTTGCCCAGTTGATGGCTTATATTTCTGTCTGAAGAGTAATTTTTTCATTTTGATAAAATCCAATTTATCAAATATCTTTCTTTTTGATTTGAGCTTGTGTGATCCAAATAATAAATCTGTGCGACCATAAGACTAGGATGACTTTCCTTTAGAATATTCATAGCTTCAGTGTTCACATTTAGGTCCATGATACACTATGAGTTAATTCTTGTGCATGGTAGCAGTGACAGTCAATGTCCTTTTGTGTATGTCATCAAGTAAAAATCAAAGGCCACTCAGATATCAATTGTTCCAGTATAATTTGCTGAAGGGATTTTTCTTTTCCCATTGACTGGTCTTTGCACCTTCATCATGAATCAACTAAATGAATGAATCAACATGTCTGTGTGGATCTGCTTCAAAGTTTTCAAGATACATTTGGAGAGGTAGCCAGAAATAAATCACAGAGGGCATGTATTCCACGCAAGGAGAGCCAACAAAGGATCTGAACCAGGGAAGAATGAGATCAGATGTCCTACCATCAAGGCCATGCTGACAGTCTGCCCCATGGAGAAGATTTCAATGAAAGGAGACTGGAGGCATCAGCCTGGCTCACTGGCTGCCTTTGATCAGATTCCCTGAATGGAAGTGGAACTTAGGGAGGAGTAGGCCCAGAGCTGTCTTCCCTGAGTTATATAAGTGTTCAGGCAGGATGACATGGTGAAAGTGGGAACAAGACTCATCAGCTGGAAGCCTCATTCCTTGGTCCCTTCATTGGTTATGAGGGGGAAAAGTCTTGGCTATTTATTCTAATGACAACACAGAAAAAGCTTCAGGTCTGCCTTTCAGGAACTATTACCAAAGACCAATTTTAGAGATTTCATAAGAATTACAGAAATAAGACCTTGAATTACGCCCACACATACACACATGTGTCCTCACAGGACATGCTTTTGGCTGTAGGTAACATTGTACAGCAAGAGAACTCACAGAACCCAGTAGACACCTGGCACCAGCTCTGCATTCTACCCAGAAAATCCTTTCTTGACATGAGCAAGAGTGGGCCTCTTCCCACTTCTGCATGGAATATTTTGTAGTGGTTGCTTCATCTTCCATTTGAATTATTTCAACATGTGGTCACAACTTTGAATTGGACAATCAAAACTGGTATCTGGGGCTATCCCATATATCTGTTGTTTTCTTCACTGTGTTTCATATACAAAATACTGTACATTTGAAATGTTTAAGGATATATTGAATTCCACATGAAAACACAAAAACAATATGATGGCACAACCATAGGAAAGTAAAATGTATTAGACAAGGAACCTACCAGAGAGGGAGAACTGGTGTCTAATAAAGGGGATATAAAACTCATAAAAGAGTGGGGAGCTACAGATAATCACATGGAGCCCCCACAGCAGCCCTTTTCAGAGAATCAAATACCAAACATATAAAATCCTGGTGGTTAGGCACACATTTTGGGGTGTATTTTTTGAGGAACTGAATGCAATTCCTATACATAGAGGGATATTCTATGCCATATTTGGGGGGCAGACAGATGTCTCCTAAATCAATAAAGTCCTGGGAACTCCCATTATCACAGGACCTGAGATTCTAGAGGTTCATAGGGAGCTCCAGGATCTTCAAGTAATATATTTTAAGAGGGGCAATCATGAGAGGGAACTGTGAGAAATGAAAACCACAGCATTACCTGTGGTCCAAAAGCAGGCTCCATGTCTGACCAGCAAAGGAGGTACTCTTCACAGGTGGGGACTCAGAACAGAGACTACAGGTAGAGTCATGGGAGGGTCATCCCTGCCTAGCTGCAGAGTGGGGACCAGGCTTTCTGAGCTTGGAGGTAAGGTGAAAAGGAGATACAAGTGGAAAACCCAGCATGGAAGTACTGGCCAGTATCTTATGTCATATCATGAAATGTGAGGGTGGAGAAAGGGCAGAGAGACTGAGAGATGTCAGACACCAAGGATGAAGTAAGCATGACCCTATGTCTAGAGACAGAGTGGGGTTGACAGTGGGGCTCTCTACTGAAGGTTTGGGTCTGAGTGAGGAGACCACTGAAGAGAGGCAAGTCAAGAAGCCAAAATCAAACTCATAGACACAGAAAACAGAACAGGAGTTGCCACAGAGTGGGGATGGTGGTTGGGGGCAGGGATATGAGGAATTACTGTTTGATCAGCATGGAGTTTGATTTTGGGAAGATGAAAACTGTTTTGGAATGGGTGGTGGTGACGTTTCCATGATAATGTCAATATGCTTGATGCCACTGACTATACAATTAATGGCTAAATAATAAGCTTTATAAAATATATATTCTACCACAATTTGAAAAAATAATCCCAAGATTACTTCATAAGAATTTCCAAACAGAGGCAGAAACAGCGAGGATATTATTTCTGCACTACCCTCAGGTACCAATATGGAGAATACACTAGGGGTGTCTGTGCTAGGGAAAGCCTTCTACAACCTACAGCTCCCCAAACACCCATCAAGACAGCACCTCCATCAGGCCTTCTTCAGCTTCCTGGCTCCACACAACCACCTGGCCACCATGCCCAGCAGCTTCCCACAGATCCACAGTGTGCTCAGGGTGACCACCAGCAGGAACAAGAAGACATCCAGCAGGTACTGCTCATGCCATGGCTGCTGCAGGCCATGGGGCTTGAGGTGGGCTGCACCTCCTGTCTGGAGGATGTGGTTGATCCAGCCCACCAGCCTCTGGGTAGGGGTCAGGGGGTGGGAGCGCCTGATGATGCTGGCAGCCACAGCTGCTGACTTGTACCTGTTAGCAGAGACAGGGTGTTACTCATGTGGTCTCAGAACTCTTAGAGACCTTGTATCACACACACACACACACATACACACACACACACATACACTTTCATCCATATGCACAAAAGACTCAGTTTCAAGGAAAAGTGGTTGGCCTGGTCTTGTCACAGTCTATCTGGGTCCCATTGAAAAGTTCTAACTGGTCTGTCCATGCAAAGATCCATGCTTAGGGCTAAAAGTGTTAAATTATAAAAAGGTGACTAACTTGTAAGGACAAGTCCTACCTAAAGACACTTATGGTACAATAAAGGAAAAGGTATAGGAATATATGTAATGTAACTAACATACACCCAAATCAAAGTAAATTACCTTGAGACTCTAACAAGATATTTAGTTCATCATGGTTACCACATCCTTATGCTGGATGGCAATTTACATAAGAGAATATGGGCCTTTTACTGACTCACTTAAGAGAAATTCATCCCATCTTACGATTATGATTGAATGGGGTGGGAGAGAGGAGCACATTTAGGACTGCCACACAAAGGCTTCCTGCCTCTCTGAAGAGAGGATGTTGGAGATGAGCCTGACTGTCACGAAGGAGCTAGGTCTGTGAAGAGAAGGGAAGGGTGTCCGAGGGAGCAACACTGACAAATGGTCTGAAGCAGGAAACACTGTGGCATATTGGGGGACAAGAATGTGACCTCCTGCTTAGTGCAATTCTACTATCAGTAGTCCCAAAATATAAGACCTCTAACAGACCCTATGTAAGTAGGTCAGAGTCCTCACAAGACTTCAGATAGAAATTTTACTCAATATCTAATCTGAACTCCCTAGTCTTGCTCTCAGAGGAAAAAAGGCATCTGTTAGCATCGTACACATATTATTCCGTGTCTTGGAAGTTTCAGCTTTTATTGAAAAAAAAAAAAAAAAAAGCACTACACAGTGCCATTTGTGTTGGATGTCTTCATTCAGTCTAGATGACCACAAGCCCAGAGAACTCCATACCTCTTGTCTTCAATTACTTCCTTTATCTTCAGAGCCAATGTCTCTGCCTTAACCTGCTTTAACTGGATAGAGACACCAAACTTTTTGGCTTCTACTCGGATCAGGTTTTCAGCCTGTTCTCCAAGGACAGGAATCCCTACCATGGGTACACCATGTTGGATGGCCTCCATTATGCTATTCAATCCACCATGGGTGACAAAGAGACGGATGCGTGGGTGAGCTGTTGCAAATCAGGAACAGAGCAGAATATTTCAGGGTGAAAATTTTCAGAACATCTTTGAAAGGATCAAAGGCAGAAAAAAAATACAAAGGGATCTTAAACTATGTTGGAGAAAATAGATTTATTGAATTAGCTTAAGACACACTCAAGGGTACATATTCCCCAAGATAAAATATTCTGGTCTTATCTCCATACAGAGATTCTTCTAAATCAATCCTTCTAAGACTCAGAACCCAGGGACAGCTGCTGAGAACAATCCTAAGCACAACATTTCCCTCCATACATATATCCATCCCTCCAACCATCCTTATATTTCCACTCTGTATCTCCCTTTGCTTCTCCTGTGTCTGTTTTCACACTATTACTTTCTCCCAGTGCTACTCTCTCTTTTCTGATTTACTATCTCTATCTCTCTCTCTGTCTCTATCTCTTGCTCTCCAGGTTTCAAGCTCTCCCTTTCACTGCCCATTCACTTCCTTCTTATCTGAAGGCTAGCACATTTACTGACATCACAGCTCATGTGGCATTCATCAAACTTACACTATATGTGGTTTCTCCTTAATTTCACAAAAATCCTCTAAAGTAGGCAATGATGGACCACTCATCTCGATATTTCTAGTTTCTGTGTGCTCACCCCTCTCTATTTTGAGAAAACTAAAACAAGTGCTAATAATGAAGAGTTTATCTCAAACACTGCCTCTCAATAGGGATGTGCATCAGAATCCTTTTGTGTTTCTTTGAAAGTCAGAATCCTTTTCCCTATACCATGCCTTGTGAATAAATGTGCAGAACCCTCTATCTTAAGTTCCCAATATGTTTGTGAGCCATAATCTTGATGAAGAATGTTTGATATAGTCAGTGGTTGTGGCACTGAGGAGCTCCAAAAAGTGGCACATGGACAAAGGGGTGTGAGGAGATCTCTGTTACCAGAGAATATGATGGGCAAAATAAGCAGCTAAGGCTGAGAGGTAACTCAGCTTGAAACTCAGATGTTTTGGCATACCCTTCAGATACTGTCACCAATACTTTGTGAAAGTATGAGTACACCTTTTGGGAAAAAGGAGAATGAACCAATATGTGTGAGAGTGTTTCTATAGTGACATGGGGCTTAATAGATGTTTTAGAGTTGAGGGAAAACAGTGGCAACACATCCTTTGATATGTGATCTCAGAATCCATAAACTGTCTTTGACTAAGTTTGGGTAACCTTGTTGAATGCCAAATATGGTATGGTCAAAACAGCCTGATGACAATATCACTTCTGGGGGCAGCTATGAAGACTGAAATAGAAAGAAAGAAGAAAACATAGCAGTTTTAGCCATTTGGGAAGCAGAGCCTGATTCCCTAAGAACTCCAGCTGGCTGCTCCATTCCTGTCCTCTAAAGATTACCTTTAGGTACCAGATGCCCTTTCTCAGACTGGTGGGGTTGTGCAGTGGAAACTTAAAGATACATAAATGGAAAGAGTGAAGTAGACCTGAACAGTCCTTACCCAATAGGTCATTCTGAGGAAGCCAGTCCATGATTTTCACATTTGCTGCCAATTTGATGTCTTTGGGCCAATGAGAAGGATTACACTTCCATATCACCCCTTGAGACAGATGAGCAAAGGCACTGTTCATTTCCCTGAGAACTTCCTGGGACTGATAGATACTCACAATAGAGCCCAAGGCCACAAGGACAAAACCAGAGTCTCCAAATTTGGCAATGAAATTCTCAAATTCCTGGAGAGAGATAAAAAAAGAAAGGAGGTGGACAAAGTTGTTCGTCAAAGCCAAGATGCTTTGAAATGAAAGTCAGCTATTTACTGAATACGCCTTCCTGTCAGTGCCTAGAGCTCACTAGGTTCTCCTAGCCCCTGGACAGCTCGGTGCCTTCTGTACTCTACTCATATCCATTGTGTCTGGTGGCCTTGAATTCATTTATCTGAGACCTCAGGACACATCCTACCATATAAACACTTTCAGTAATCACAAATAAATATGAAGACAGCTGTAGGTGTCCAGCCACTGCCATAATAGTCTAAGTTGCCCTTGAGGCACTCAAAGCATATTGTAGCACCAACATCTAGACCCAGACCTCGTGTGTATAACAGTGTTTTATAGCAAAGGAAAGTGGAGTTGGTGGGAATCTCTTTCTTCATTGAAAACATGGTCCCCGTACCAGGGTCATTCTCATCCCTCATTCTAGGTGTGGGTAGATATGGTCATTTAGGAGTGTTCCAATGCCAGAGCAGAGGTACTAGTGCCTGGGAGAGTGCCAGTTGGTGTCCTGGTCCAGTAGGGGGCAGCATGCCTTCTGGAGGCTGAGGTAAATGCTGGGGAATGTCTCTACCGGTGTGTAGACACCGGTAGAGACAATGTCTACCGGTGTGTGTTTCACATGCTTATTAGCCATCTATTTGTCTTCTTTGTTGAGAGGTCTCGGAAGGTTTCCCCCCCTTTTGTTAAATTATGGTTTTCTTTTTTTTTTTAAGATTTTATTTATTTATTTGACAGAGAGATCACAAGCAGGCAGAGAGACAGGCAGAGGGGGAGGAAAATGCAGGCTCCCTGCTGAGCAGAGATCCCGATGTAAGGCTCGATTCTAAGACCCTGAGATCATGACCTGAGCCGAAGGCAGAGGCTTAACCCCCTGAGCCACCCAGGTGCCCTTTTGGTTTTCTTATTAATTTTTTTTTTCTGCTCAGAAATTTATTCTCAAGTGATTCAGGGAAAGTTTATAATATTATTTCAACTTTCCTATAATCTTATAATTATTTAAGAGGAATTTAATGGTGTATTAGAGCTTTATCAGCTATTAGGAAAAAAACATGCTGCAGCTTCACAATTCCATTTCTTTTCAAATCTTTGAAAAATATATTTTGGAGCCCTTAAAATGTTTTTGAGCCCATGTTGCAAAGCTTGAACAGCTTCATCATGGGCAGATCATCTAGTTGGCCCAGGTATCTTCAAAATACTTCATCTGTGAGATGACTCTGAAAAGAATACAAATAATAGTTGCGAAATGTTGTATCCAAGTCAGTAAATCCCAGTAGCGAAGAAGCCATATTTTCTCCAATGAGATTTTAAAAAATAGCTTGACAGAGTTTAATTTTAAGAGTTCTTTGTATACTATGTATATTTGTGTGTATAAAGTGTTTGCATATTTTGAATAGCACTTTTGAACAGATAAGTGTGTTCCAAATATTTGCTCTTGTTCTGTGGCTCCTCTTTTTATTGTCTTGACAGTGCCTACATAGAACAAAATTTTTAAAAGATTTTTATCTATTTATTTGAGAGAGAGAGAGAAAGGCAACCCAAGTGGAAGGGGGGGAGGGATGCAGAGGGAGAAGCATGCTGCAGGGAACCTGATTCAGGAATCCATCCCAGGACCCTGGGATCATGACCTGAGCCAAAGGAAGCTTAATTTACTGAGTGACCCAGATGCCCCCACAACAGAAAATTTCAACTTAGCACACTTAAAAACTCTTTCTTTCATAGAACATGACTTAGGTTTGCATTTAAAAAGTTTTCATCAACCCATAGTTCATCTGAATTTTCTCTGATATCATATTCTAAAATTTTTATACTTTCGCATTTTATATTTGGGCCTGTGGTCCTTTTGAGCTAATTTTCTTGAAGAGTGTAGGGTCTTAATCCAATTTATTCTTTGTGTGTGCACATATCCATTTTTTCAGCACCACTTTTTTGAAAGTCTACGTTTTCTTAGTACTATTGTCTTTACTCCTATGTAAAACATCAGTTCACTAAATCTGTATGTATCTCTTTTAGGGTTCTCTATTGTGTTACATTTATGATTGATCTAATCATTTGTCAATATCATACTGTGTTGATTACTGTAGCTTTTAGTAAGTTATGAGGTTGAAAATGTCATTCCTCCCACTTTGTTCTTCATTTTCAATATTGTGTTGGCTTTCCAGGATTTTTGCCTCTCTATGCAAATTTTAGGATCATTTTATCAATATCTGCAAAATAATTTGCTGAGATTTTGATTGTGCTTGCACTGAATGTATAGGTCAATTTGGAGAGAAAAAATTCTTGACAATATTGTGTCTTCTTATCCATGGACATGGAATTTCTCTCCACTTATTTAGTTCTTTGATTTCCTTCATTAGAATTTTGTAGTTTTCCTCATATAAATCTTTACATATTTTGTGGATTTATTCCCAACATCACATTTTTGGTGGTGCTAATGTAAATGGTACAGTGTTTTTAATTTCACATTCCCTCATGCATTGCTAATATATAAGAAAAGTGTTCATTTTTTACATTAAACTTCTTTCCTGTGACATTGCTATGATTGCTTTCTATTCCAGGAATTTTTATTTTTTATTTTTTGACTTTTTCACATTTTCAAAATGGACCCTCACGTCATCTGCAAACAAAATAGTTTTATTGCTTTCTTCCTAATCTATATGCCTTTTATTCTGTGTTGTTTGTTTTTTGTTTGTTTGTTTTGTCTCATTTCTTTTGTTAGGACATCCAGTATGAGGCTAAAAGGTGACGGTGAGATGACATACTTGCCTTGTATCTGATAGGTTGTCCTCTCATTTTCTATATAACATCCTTTGAAATAGAGAAGTTTTTAATCCTGATGAAGGCCAATTTTCCTATTTTTTCCTTTGTTACTCATCTTCTCCATGTCATTTCTACAAATTCGTTGTGAAATAAGTCCATGCAGATTTATCCCTTTCTTTTCTTCTAAATATTTTATGGCTTTTAACTCTTTAATTATGCCATCAATCTATTTTGAGTTATTTTTGGTATGTGGTATGAGGAAGGCTCAAAATACATTCTCTTTCATGTGAAAATCCAGCAGGCTCAGCACCATTTGCTAAAGAGACTATTCTTTCCTTCCTTGAATGGTTTTGACACCCTTGTCAAAAATGAATTGATTGGTCACAGTTGTATAAGTCATCCAACGGTGTTCTTTTTCATATTCTTTTGGTTATTCAAGGTCTCTTACATTTCCATATGAATTTGAAAATTGGCTTTTTCATTTCTACAAAAAGAAGAGGCCATTGAGCTGTTGATAAGGATTAGATCAAATCTGTACATCACTTTGAGTAGTAATGTTCTCTTAACAAAATTAAGTGTCACAACCCATGGTCTGGAGAGGTCTTTCTATTTATTTAGGTCTTTCTGAATTTGTTTCAGCAAATCTGTAGTGTTCAGTGTACATGTCTTTCAACTCCTCAATTTAATTGGATCCTGTTGTACATAGTTTTCTCAATTTCATTTACAGACTATTCATAGTTGCTGTATGGAAACACAAATCATATTTGCATATTGATATTTTCCCATGCAACTGTGCTGGTTTGTTTATTAAAACTAGTAGTTTCTTTTTGGTATATGAATTTTTTGGTATTTTCTACTTAGAGAAATAGGTCCTATGAAAATCAAATTATTTCTACATTGTTCATTCCAGTTTGGATGTGTTTTCTTTCATTTTCTTGCCTACTTGCTTTGTCTAGGGCATATTTGAATAGCAGTGATGTAAGTAGACATCTTACACTACTGATCTTAAGAAGCACAATTGCAGTCTATCATAATGAGTATGTTTTTTGCTGGGAGTGTTCCATATACTCTTTATCATGTTCAATAATCATGTTTATATGTCTAGCTTTGTGAATGTTTTTATCATGAAAGAGTCTTAGTTTTGTCAGATAACTTTTCTGCCTCTCTTGACATGATATGTTTTTTTCTCCCATTCATTCTAATAATGTGTTGTAGTACATTGGTTGATTTTATTATATTAAACCATTTATAAAATATCCTTTATCTCCTGTAAAAGTTATGACATAAGTCTATTTTGTGTAGTATTAATTAGTTTACAACCACCCATAAATGATTCTTAAGAAATTTCTGATTTAATCCCCTAAAAATTTAGTACCCTAAGAATACAATTTTGTCATTCTTCAGAAACATAATTTCTTCTTCTTCATTGTTTGGTTGTCCCCAGCTCAAAGCTTTTACTCTATTATTCAATCTGGCTCTATTTGACTCCATCCAACACTACATCATAAGACCTATCATCCCAGGAAACCACTTAAAATCAGTTTTGCTATCTTTTGATAATTATAAGGTTAATGTAAATCTATTATTTAAAATTGAAAAGAGCAGAGAATGACATCAGAATAAGAGGCTCCATGTTCTCATTCTCTAAAAGAAATGAAAGAAAGAAAGAAAGAAAGAAAGAAAGAGGTAAAGACAGACTGCACCCAGGCAAATGTGTAACCAGCCTCACCTAGGCCAGTAATTAAGTTATGAAAACACCCTCTCACCAGAATCCCTACCCCCAGCAGGTGAATATCCACATGAATAAGTATAAAGTTCAATCCTCAACTTAAACCACACAAATTTTCAACTCAAAATTGATTAAAGAGTAACTGATGGCCTACAGAACAGAAAATATCTGCAAAGTGTATTCCTGATAAGAGATAAATCTCCAAAATCTCCATAAGAAAGAACTACAGCTCAATAGGAAAGAAGAAAGAAAGAAAAGAGAGGTAGTAAAAGAAAGAGAGAGAGAGAGAGAGAAAGAAAAAGAAAAAGAAAAGAAAGAATGATCTTACAATCCCATTAAAATTAGGCTTGGGGGGGGGTGCCTGGGTGGCTCAGTGGGTTAAGCCTCTGCCTTTGGCTCAGGGCATGATCTCAGGGTCCTGGGATGGAGTCCCACATTGGGCTCTTTGCTCAGCGGGGAGCCTGCTTCCCTCTCTCTCTCTGCCTGCCTCTCTTCCTACTTGTGATCTCTCTCCCTCTCTTTGTCAAATAAAAAAGTAAAATATTAAAAAAAATAAAAGGCTAAGGACTGGAATAGACATTTATCCAAAGACAACATGTAAATGGCAAACAGATATATGAAAAAATACTCAGAAACACTAGTCATTAGGGAAATGCAAATCAATTCCACAATGAGATGTTAATTCATACATATTAGTATGGTTATTATTAAAAAACAGAAGAAAACTGTTGAGGATATGGGGAAATAGCAACTCTTACCTACCACTGTTGGGAATGAAAAACAGTAAAGGCACTATGGAAAACAACATGGAAATTCCTCCTCCAGATTAAAAATAGAACCACCATATGATGGAGCAATCTGAGTTCTCTCTCTATACCTAAGGAAATGGATATATACATTTATATATGCATATATAAAATATACAATTATATATATAATATATATATAATGGAATATTTTAAAAAGAAGGAAATTTTGCAATATGGGAAAACATGGATGAAGCTTGAGGACATTATGCTAAGTGACCTAAGCCAGAAAGGCAATACTGCATGAATTAACTTATCTGAAGCATCTAAAATAGTCAGATTCATAGAATCAAAAGCGGAAGTTGGTTTCCAAGGTTAGAGGGGGAGCAATGAGGTAAAAGGCCAGCTACTATTCCATGGAGGAGAAGTTACAAGTAAATGAGATGAATAAGATCTAGAGATCTGATGCACAACATGACACCTAAGTCAATAATTGTACTATTATACTATTAAATATTGTACTATTAAATATTGTACTATTAAAAATTTGATAAGAAGTTAAGTCTTATACTAAGTGCTTTTTTCCACATAAAATAAAATTCAAAATAGAATACAATAGACAAGAAAAGTAAAATTAAATTAAATTAAAAAATAAAAATGTATATCCTCATTGCTTTGCCTGTCTAATCATACTCACTTCCTCTTCCCTCTGCCAGGGGAGCTACTGGTTCTGTCTGCATTTAAAAGTTCTGCATGAAGTCCATATTGAGAGCTAAGATTTTACTTACTTGTGATACTGGTTTAACAGGTCTCGCCATTAAGCCTCCAACATACACAGTGTTGGGAAGTAGAGGCCGAGCAAACTCAAGGGCAAAGTCAGAGTTAACAAACCACAGCTCTGCTTTCTTTAGAAGATGAGACAAAACAGGCCTAGAACCTTCTGGGAAATGTTCCTTGATGGTGTTGTCATATGTAGAGTGGAGTCGCCATTGCTTCAGGGAGAAATCAAAAAGCATCAGAAAATTCTTCACCCTGCCCCAGAAGTCCATGTGGTCAGTTAGCAAGGAACGGAATACTGGAATATAAGACACAGGGATTGGTAGCCCATGGTCCATACTGCCAAACTGGGTGGGAAGAATTGCCACAAATGGCTTCCCAAGCTTCTCAGCAACCAGGAAAGAACAGAAGTCAAATGCTTCGACAAATACCAGGTCAAAGTTCTCGTTTTTTAAGAAATCCATGATATCTCCTCTCCTTAGCAAGTCACTGCATCGAATCCCCAGTTGTTCCATTAACTTTACAACGTTCTCAAATGCTTCTCTGTTTAAAACAAAAGTAATGAGATATATTTATTGAAGGTGTTAACTTCATGATACTTAGGAGAATCTTTGGCTCAAAGAAAATATCCCAGGTAAGTAAGACCATACCTGGCAGCCGCCCACCTATGTTACCAGTGTTCAACAAATACTCTACTCTGGATGTTTCTGCTTCCTAAAATGTTCTTATTTCCTGGGACGCCTGGGTGGCTCAGTTGGTTAAGCAGCTGCCTTCGGCTCAGGTCATGATCCCAGCGTCCTGGGATCGAGTCCCACATTGGGCTCCTTGCTCATCAGGGAGCCTGCTTCTCCCTCTGCCTCTGCCTGCCATTCTGTCTGCCTGTGCTTGCTCTCTCTCCCTCTCTCTCTCTGACAAATAAATAAATAAAATCTTAAAAAAAAAAATGTTCTTATTTCCTCCCCTACCCTTTCTCTGGCCAATCCATATGCATGCACTAGCAAAGCCAATTTAGCTCTTCCTGCATTGAAAGCATCCTTTGACACTAGTAGATCTCAGAGTCTCATGTCTAGTTGGTACATTCTGTGATGTTCTGTTTAACTTTCATTTGTGTACTGAACTTTTCTAAGTGACTGTCCTGTTTACTAACCAAACTGTGGAAGTAACTTCATAACATCAACATTCACGATGTAGCTCTTTTATTTGAAATTAAATATATCCTGAATTTGACAGATTGCCTCACACAAGGAATTTCCTGATGGTAATATTAGAATCCAAGTTCTAAGCTGAATGTGAGATTTATATCTTCCTACCTGAAAATATTAATATTTAAAACAAACAAAAATAAAAGCCTATTTGAAGTTAACTACTACCTTTCCACTTCATGCCAGCTGGAGTATTCACAAAATTTCATGCTAAAATTTTACCAATTTTGAAGACTCTTGCCTATGGCACTACTCCAGGATCTATTCTCTCAATGTTTTCCCATCGGTGCCTTCTAAGGAAATGATCCTTTTCATACAGCACATGGCAAGATGAGAATATTCCTGACCAGAGGTTACAGGTGCAGGTGCTTTGGAGACCCATAGGCCTCCTACATGAATGAAGGACTGAGAGAATCAATGGCCCAGCAAACCTATAACCTGTACAATATTCCACCACGTCCGCCCAATGAAAGAAGACCCACAGGTGAGAGCTCATTAACATGAAGATGCCCACACGTGCTATAGAATCAACTAAAAGTGACAACACATGATTTGCTGAAATTATCCTCTATTATATTTTAAAAGATTTTCATAAAGAATGGTTGCTCAATGTTACTGACAAATTCAGAATATGAAGTGCAATTTCCTCAAACGTAGAGCATGAATCATATTGAAATTAAGATAATAAATGAAAAAATACAGGAAATCACTGTGCTGTGTTTTGTACCATATTTAACATGTGAGTGAAACCAGTCTTTGAGGGACGCCTGAGTGGCTCAGTTGGTTAAGCATCTGACTCCTGATCTCAGCTCAGATCTTGATCTCAAGGTTGTGAGTTCCAGCCTCCTATTGGGGTCAATGCTGGGTATGGAACATACTTAAAAACAAAAACTAAACAAACAAAAAAACAGTCTTTGACATAATAAAGCTGAGGGGGAAGAGATGGGACATATAATTTGAAAATATATGAGTAACAACACAAGATAAAACAAAGTTTCAAGTGAGTACTTTAGATCAAATCTCTTACAGATAAGAGCATTTGGTGTTCTAGTTTGACTATCAATTGGGCTCTATGGAAAAGGCCAGATTTTAGGACCACCTAGTAGCAAATAGAATTTCTTTGTGAGGTTTTTTTGTTTGTTTTTTAGGATTTTATATATTTATTTGAGAAAGAGAGAGCACAAGTGAGGGAAGAGGCAGAGATTCAAACAGACTTCCCACTGAGCAGGGAGCTCAACAGGGGCACATCAGTAGGCTCAATCCCAGGACCCTGAGATCATGACGTGAGAACCAAAGTCAGATGCTTAACCAACTAAGCCTACCAGGTGCCCTGCAAATAGAATTTCTAAGGAACGAAGGGCTATGGACATTAGGCCTGTGTGTTAACCAAACAAAGTATAAATTTGTGTCTTTACCCTCTAATGTCAAAGAAGAACTTTCTATACATCCCAGATAATGACAAAATTCCTCAGGTTACTCACTGGTTGTATATCCCCAAGATATTTCGGTTTTTTAAATGAGTTTAAAAGATAGTGTTTCAAGGTATTAAATAACAGTATTCAAAAGCATCTTTCTATTCTTGAATTTATGTGAGGGTAAGGGAGGAACAATAAATGTAAACTGGTGGTTCTCATCGCCTATTGACAATGAGAAATTTGTCTATCACAACTTCTGTATTTTGGAGAATATATATGCAAACACCATAGATGAAATGTTGCAAGGAAGATCCAGAGGAACAATCCCCCTCACTATACAGAAATACATTCATGCTTTCAGTGGAAGAGCCACAGTATACATACACTGAATGACTGGTAGTGCAAAACTCATTTACTCCATCCATATACTGCCACCATCATTGATCTCCCCATCCATCCAGTCATCCATCCATCCATCCATCCATCCACTCACCCATCCATCCATTTCTCTTAAATTCACACCAAGTATCCATGCATGCAACCATTCATTTCTATCACTAAAATGGCAAGCCTTTCATTCAGAGAATAAAAGAAATTACCTGCCATGCAAAGCTTCTGTCACAAAGAAATCAAAAGAGTTATTAAAATCTTTTCTATGATCTTCAGGTGGAAGCCAACTGATAACATTGTATGAAATTTCATTCTTTTCTAAAAATAAAAAATAAAACACCAATAAGGAAATGTTTAATGATACCATACAACCCTTATTAATAGTGACATGATGATATCATGTTTGTTTACTCCAAGGATTGTATATATACTCAAATGCTTGCTTTTTGAACTTTGGTTTGGTTTGGTTTTTCTGCTTTCTCATTTCTTCAATCATGCAAACTGCTAAACTTTATTGAGAACCATATAATGATACAGTCACTTTTACTCACTTTAAAGTAAGAGAAGTTTCTGTTTAAAGTTTACACTTAAAGGTGTAACTAGTCACCATTTTATAGGTGAGAAAGGAGTGCCAGATAATTTGTCAAGAATGCACATACAGGGACGCCTGGGTGGCTCAGTTGGTTAAGCAGCTGCCTTCGGCTCAGGTCATGATCCCAGTGTCCTGGGATCGAGTCCCACATCGGGCTCCTTGCTCATCAGGGAGCCTGCTTCTCCCTCTGCCTCTGCCTGCCATTCTGTCTGCCTGTGCTTGCTCTCTCTCCCTCTCTCTCTCTCTGACAAATAAATAAATAAAATCTTTAAAAAAAAAAAAAAGAATGCACATACAGTGAATGTATAATTTGTATTTGAATACAGATCTCATTCACTGCCAACTTCCCAGGCATTTCCCATTTAGAAAAGAAATCATTTTCATTAAAATTAAAAGTGATACATGCACAGGTTTTTCACTCTGCCAAAAAGATACCAAGACCTAATTTTAAAAAAGCAGTCTTCTGCAGCCCTACTCCATATCCTGGCATTTCCCCATAAGTCATGTGTAAAAAAGAGTCTGATGCCATTTTTTAAGTTGGGCAGATGATGGCTTTCAAGCTCCATCTCCCTCTTAACCTTCTGGGACATATCTTGGCAAACAGAGAAGAAAGCCTCAACATGCCATCTCTTAAACAAGGAAGAGTTTCAAGCCAAGCAACCCACACCCATATAGGGGAATCCTCACCTCCACCCTACTCAGAAGCTTCCGTAATTGGTATTTAGGGACAAGAGTATGGGAGTAGCCATTCAGTGGCCCTGGCCATGTGTCTCACGCAAACCTATTTTCTGTGTCAGCTTAAATTGTGCTTCTGAATCCCTGCGTGAGCTGAGATTGACACGTGGCTAGGCAGAACTCTGTGACCAATGGTTGTGTGTCTCAAGGGCTGCCCCCATTATAAACAGTGCTCTGGATAAGACTGATTCCAGTTTACAAGTGCAACGAATGGTGTGAGGAAGGGCAGTCACCATGCCACAGGTAGGAAGAGATCCACACCTGTAAAAGTAGAAGGTGCATACAGCCCTAAAAATTGCCTTTGCTACTGATGCTGATTACCTCTCTGTAGCTAAAAGAAAACCTTGACTAACGTGGTAATATGGTAAAACACTGATGACATGCCCATGGAGCTAATTCAAGGGGTTTATTCAAAGTCAGGTTAATTTTACATCTTTCAAAATGACCACCAGTGAGGCCCCTAGCCTTAATGATACTAACTGGGACATTCTGAAGAAGAAACTTATAAATATGAGCAGGTTAGAATGGACATTATCCCAAAATACCTCTAATAACCCAAAGAAAGAAGAAAGAGAAAGGCAAGGTAGGGTGGGAGAGTCAGGAAAGAAATTAAAACAGAGTGGAATGTAACATGATACATGTGGAATGTAACATTACTTTAAAAAAAGAAAGGCACAGATTGGCTTTTGTGCCTCTAAATCAGGGCATCTAAATAGTTTTAACATCAGATGAGATGAGCCACTGACAAACTTTAATGGTCTTAATCGATACTGGGACAAAAAATAACAGCTATATGAGAAGAGCCCACTAGATATATACAGAAAATTTCAGTACTCTTAGGAGTCAAAATGTTAGATAGAGGACAAATTTGCATGCCCTGCCTTAACTACTGGGATTAAATATCCCACAGTCATAAGAGTCATTTCTTCTACATTATTTCCTAGGGGCTATGGTTGCTCTTGATATAACAAGTAAAAAACTAAAATAAAATTAAAGTTTGGGCATTTACAATCAGCTTGACAAAAAGAGACTCTTTGGATCTGCCCAACGTATTAAAATGGTTAATACAACCCATAAACAGTGCCTTTAAGGATTAAATCCCATTGTAAAGGATCTGTTAAGCAAAAGAGTGATTACCTCCACTGGTTTTCCCTTTAATGGCCTGGTTTATACTATTCTTAAACAGCAAAGAAGTAATGATGCCTTGCAGTGGATTACTATAACATAATTGTGCAGTGACATATTATATTAAGCACCCCCCATTTCCAATGTTACTCAAATTGCTGACTATTTCTAAGTATTAATAGGTATTTTACATGCATAGATTTGATAATATGTTCTGCTCAGTTTCTATTTCAACAAGCACTCAGCTAGTTTCTCTTCTTCTTCATCTTGGCAGGATACAAATCATTTTTAACTGCTTTCTTATGGACTACCTCAACAACCTGCACACGAGCTTTGCTGGCAACACCTTAACCACATTCAGTTTTCTCCAGAAGCACATGTATGACATTGCATCAAGGACAACCTCCTTTTGCAGAGATTCATCCAGCATGGGCACTCAGGACACAAACATTCAAACAGGAGCTCACAAGAGGGATGTGCTGCTGCCCTACACAAAGCACAATCCATGGTGCCTCAGTTTAATTCCTATGAAGAATTACTTGTCAGTTGAAGGTCTTTCCATCCCTGACACCATCAAGAAACAACTATTTAGGTTCCACTTCCAGCATGAGAGTATAAGGAGCTTTCCTGGACACACATTTAAACAGGAACTGGTGAAAGTTTTCTTTTATATGTACACACATATATTCAACTATACATATATATTCAGAAAGCAAAAGGTAGTAGTGAAGACTCTAGGAAGATCGTAGAGCACCAGGAATCTGTCTTCCCACCTAGATAACAATTGACTGGCAGAATCTGTCTAAAATATCTATTTTGGAACCTTGTAGTCAACTTCCAGAGAAGGATGTAACTGTAAAGTACACATAATTTTAGTTAATTTCAGTTATTCCAGCAATGTTCATAGTACCAGCCACCCATCCCCCACATACATCTCATGGCAGGCAGCTGAACATATGTTCATAAAGCAGTTTGCACACAGGTTTCAGGAGCCAGAGTGGGTAAAAAGGACGTTCTCCAAATCTCAGGTGTCTGTGCTTTGACTATGAATTGCTACTTCTGATCACATAGGTACAGACAAAGAGTAGGCAGTGATGTTTTTGCATCATGCTATTTTTTTTTCAAGCACATTCTGTTCTGGCTGAATGAACTTCTAGGGGTCTTAAGAGACTGATATCTGTTTTTTTCTCCCTGACTTTTCTCTTTTTCCTCTTATGGGAGACAAACTTTAAGGGCTAGGATATTGGACAAAAACTACATATATGATGAAAATTAGAAAGTGTCTGTTCATGTCACTAAAAGGCTCAGAAAAGACCTAAGAAAACAAAAATTTACAACTCACATTGATGTTCACCCAAAGGCAGCCTAAAGCAACCATAAAATAAAAACAATAAACAAAATTAATAAAAAAAAATCTGCAAATCCTGGAGAAAAGAGGAGAGTCTAATCTCCAGATTTAACACATTGTTAAATTCAACAGGTCAGTATTCAACAAAAAACTCAAGAGATACCAAACAACAGGAAACACCCTAATTCAGAGGAAAATAATAAATTAACAAACTGTCCTTGAGAAAGACCTGATGGCAGATATATTAGACTATGACTTTAAAATAACTGCCATAAATATTCTCAGAGAACTAAAGAAAGATGTGGAGAAGGTGAAGGAAAAAGTTTATACAAAATAGAAATGTAAATAAAAGCACAGAAAATGTAAAAGAAACCAAAAATAAAATATAGAACTGAAAAATGCTATAAATGAAATGAAAATTTCACTAGAGGGATTCAAAGGCTGATTTGAGCAAGCCAAAAAATAATCAGTGAACCTGAAGATAAGACAATGGAAATGATCAAGTGTGAAGAACAGAAAGTTAAGACATTGAAGAAAAGAGAACATAGTCTAAGGAAACAATGTATGCAGTGTAGATGCTCAGAAGGAAGAGAGAGAAAGGGATAGAGAGAATAGTTTACATATGTAATATGTAACAATGTAATACATAATGTATGTAATATATTGTACATGTAGTATACATATATATTATGTATATGTAATATGTAAAATAATACATATATTATGTATATGTAATATATTATGTATATGTATTATTTTACATATGTAATATGTAACAATGTAATACATAATATATGACTGAAAACATAGTAATGGCTGAAAACTCCCCCCCCAACTGGATGAAAGATATGAATATAAACATCTAGGAAGCTCAACAAACTCCAAGGAAAATGAACTCAAACACAAGCATTATAATTGAACTTCAGAAAGATAAAGAGAGAATATTAAAAGCGTTAAGAGAAAAGTGACTTATCACATACAAGTGACTGCCAATGAGATGATCAATAGATTTTAATAAGAAATTTTGGAGGTCAGAAGGTAGTGGCCCAATATATTCAAAATGCTAAAAGATAAAAATGAACAACAAAAAATTCTGTGTCTGGAAACTCTGAATTTCAAAAGTGAGGGCAAAATTAAGACATTCCCAAATAAACAAAAGCTAAGGCAGGTCATTACCACTAGACCTATACTGACAGAATTGTTCAAAGGAGCCCTTCAGAAAAAATGAAATGATACCAGATAGTAACTCAAAGGTGCATGGAAAACTAAAGATTTTAATAAAGGTAAATGCATAGGAAATTATAAAACGATTATCATAGCAATGCTTTGTAACCGCACTTGTGGTTTCTACATGATTTATGAAACTAGTACACTTTTAAAAACCAAATATTAGTTTAAAAACAAGTCTTATTTAAACTTTATTTGTAATTCCAATCAAATTTTCTCTGTAATTTAATGTACTAATGCATTTAAATTAATGATAGTTTATGATTGGGGCACACAATGTTCAAAGACGTAATTTTGTGACATCAACAATTCAAGGGGGTGGGGATGAACCAAGCTTTGTAGGAAGAGAATTTTTGAATGTTATTAAAGTTAAACTGGTAAATATTAAAATGTGAGTGACATATATTTATCATGTTAAATTAAATCCCCATGGTCATGCACATTAAAAAATAGCTATAGAATATACACAAAAGTAAATGACAAAGGAAGTTAAATGTTTCATAACAAAGAATCAACTAAGCACAAAAGAAACAGTAATATAGGAAGGGACAAAAAAGCTATAAGGCATGTAAAAAAATAGCAAAAGGACAGATGTAGTCTCTCCTTTCACAAATAACATTCAATGTACATGGATTAAATTCTCCAATGAAAATATAGACATTGGCACAATGGATAAAAATACAGGAACCAATTGTAATAGCCTTGTATGGTGACAGACGGCAGCTACACTTGTGGTGAGCACTACATAACATGTACATTTGGCAAACCACTATTTCTCACAGCTGAAACTAATGTAAGTTTGTGTATCAACTATATTTCAATAAAAAGTAACACTTTAAAAATAAAATGGGTTAACAATGGGGGAAAGAAGGTGTGGGGTATATGGGCACTTCCTATAATATCTTTCAACTTTTCTGTAAATTTACAGTTATTCCAAAACAATGAAATGTGTTAAAAAAAATACAAAAAAAGAAGCTCACAAACACACACACGAAGGAAAGTTTGTCCAACTATATATACTGTCTACAAGAGACTCACTTTAGAGCCAATGACACAGACAGGGAAATAATGGAAAAAGATATTCCAAACAAGTAATAAGCAAAAGAAAGCAGAATTAGATGAGAAAATGCCAAACATAATAGACTTTAAATCAAAAAGATTGCAAGGGACAAGGAAAGACATTATATATTAATAAAGATTCAATAAGGCAAGAAGATATAACAATTATAAACACATATGCACCTAATGACAGACCCTCAAAATAACTAAAGCAAATCTGGCAGAATAGAGGGAGAAACAGACACTTCTATATAATCATTGGGCATTTCAATACCCACTCTTAATAATGGATAAAAAAAAACAGAAAGAAGATCAGTAAAGAAATAGAAGATTTACACACATTGTTCCACTAGATGTAACAGACATATACAGAACACACTACTGAACAGGATACACATTGTTCTCAAGGGTACAGGGGACATTTTCCAGCAGAGGCTCTATGTTTAGCCACAAATAAGTCTCAATAATGTTAAAACATACTTATCACAAGCTATCTAACCACACCAGGATGAAGTTAGAAATCAACGACAGACAGAAAACTGGAAAATTCACAAATTGTGGAAATTAAACATTATCCTTTTAAATAATGCATGTATCAAAAAGAAATCACAAGGAAAATCATAAAATACTTACAAAGAAATAAAAATAAGCATGCAACATGCCAAAACATATGGGATGCACCAAAAGCAGCAGTTAAAAGGAAACTTAGAGTTTCAATGCTTATACTAAAAAGGAAGTTATCAAATCAATACCCTACTCTGTTACCTTGAGACACTGGGGAAGAAAGTGTACTAAGCCTAAAACAGATGGTAAAATTGACAAAGATTGGGGGAAAACTAATAAAATTGGAAATAGAAAACCAACAGAAATCAATGAAAGCAGAGCCAGTTCTTTGAAAAGATCAAGAAAATTTACAAACAAGAAAGATACAAATTATTAGGAACAGAGATGAAAGAAGGAACACCACTAATGACCACACAGAAATGAAAAGGACTATAGGAGAATTCTATGAACTTTAGATGGCAATAAATTAGACAATGGGTGATGTGGACAAATTCTTAGAAAGACAGAAACTACCAAAGTTAATTTAAAGAAGAAAAATACATTCCAAAGACACCTATAAAGACGAAAGGTTGTTCCATTGGGTAAAGAGCACAGAATCTCTTGCCATATAGATATCCAAAATGTACCTGAGGGTTACACATGTGTCTCCACACACCAAAGACACAATACACAGCATGAAGCAAAACTCTTTATCCTCTACAGATTTTCAGACATTACTGATCATAATCAAGGCACTGCTTCATTTCTCCACATGCACAATGCTGGTCTTTTGAAAAAAAGACACTCTGTGAAACATTGAACTCCCTCACCAGCCTCAGGGAGCAGGTCTCACAAAATACCATAATGACTTTCTTATACAAGATCAAGAAAGAAACTGACCTCACCCTGATAACAGCAGACTAAGATATTGGGATTTTTAACTCCCAGGCTAAGGTGAGCACTATTTGATAGATTATCTGAGGAACCTATGAATCCAATCAAAGCCTGAATTCCAACATAGGGCTTCCTTACTTACATTATCTTCTGATCTGCTCTCCTACAACCATATTCAACAAAATCAGAACTAGCTGACTAAAGGGGTGGAACTGTCTGGTCATGATGATGTCCCTCCAGATAACTTTGCTTCAGTGATTTTAGGCAAGCCCTTGAGAATCAATGATGTAACAGATCCCCCAAAACAAAGAAGACCTGTCACTTGGGCAATATCTACCTGGTAGAGAAGTAGAGCAAGCTCTCTTAGGAAAAGGAAGAGTCAGAACTGCAGACAACTAATTCTTCTGTAGGGTGGCTTCTTATACTTGTGATTTCAGTTAGTGATTGAAATAATCTTAAAGAGGCGCCTGGGTGGCTCAGTGGGTTGGGCCTCTGTCTTCCGCTCAGGTCATGATCTCAGGGTCCCAGGATGGAGCCCCGCATTGGGGGGGGGGGGGTCTCTGCTCAGCAGGGAGCCTGCTTCCCCCTCTCTCTCTGCCTGCCTCTCTGCCTGCTTGTGATCTATCTCTCTCAAATAAATGAATAAATAAAATCTTTTAAAAAAAAAGAAAAAGAAATAATCTTATAAGTCAATGTTAGAAACTGAGGTTAATTCATTATTTCTGAAGTCATTTATTTATTAAAGTTGTACATAATAACCTTATAAGGAAGTTATCCAAGCAGGTAGTCAATGTAGGTTCAAAAGTTTCAATATTGAGTGTTGAATCGGGTCAACAAAAATAATCCAATCACGTGTTCCCTTATTTGCAAGCCTCTACCAAAGTCTACTGCTGAAGAGAAAAATAAATAACCCATTTCTAAACCTCAGAAATTCCCGGTGAATGGTAAATATTGCAAGAAACTCTGGACTATTAAAACTTGGAAACAAGAACAAAACTAAGGGAATCCATGGGTCCTCTGAATGGTTTATAGTTTTGAGTGTGTGTAAAGAGTTAGAGTCTGAAGTTTTCAGCAGCTTCTCAATCTGTGGGAACCACCAAAATGAAATGATAATGGACTACAACTAGCATGGTTGGCAGTCAAGACAAATACACAATCAAACTGACAAGGCAGATACAAAGGGATATGTACAGAAAGGAAATCTAGTGAACAATATAGTACTTGATCTAGAGGGTGATTAAATAGCAACAGAGCCTGAAGTTCATCTTCAGAATTTCATAATTGCTCAGACTTGTTTTTCATCAACAATCATTAATTTTGGATTTTTTTAAATTAAAGTCTCAGCAATTTTGAATGAGACACCCAGAGCTTAAAGTTCTGGATCGACCCACTCTATTATTAACCTGCTGTGTGGACTTGAACAAATCTTTTGAGTTCTCTGGTCCTCTGTGTCCTTGTCTGTCAACAGAGAAGATTTCACAAGATTGATGAGCTTCATCTTAGCTACAGATTTTTTTGGATTTTCTTAATTCAAATTCAATTAGTCAACATATAATACATCATTAGTTTTTGATGTAATGTTCAATGGTTCATTAGTTACATATAACAACTTACACCAGTTAGAATGGCTAAAATTAACAAGACAGGGAACAACAAATGTTGGCAAGGATGTGGAGAAAGGGAAACCCTCCTACACTGTTTGTGGGAATGAAAGCTGGTACAGCCACTCTGGAAAACAGTATGGAAGTTCCTCAAGAAGTTAAATAGAGCTACCCTACAACTCAGCAATGGCACTACTGGGTATTTAGCCCAAGGACTCAAGAACTTCTGACATCATTATGCACAAGTCATGGGCAGCCAGAGACACTCAAGAATATAGGCTCATCTCATTGATAGATCTGATCCTAGGACATGATTAAAAGACATCCTTTAAAAATGCTTTCTTAGGGACGCCTGGGTGGCTCAGTTGGTTAAGCGGCTGCCTTCGGCTCAGGTCATGATCCCGGGGTCCTGGGATCGAGTCCCACATCGGGCTCCTTGCTCCGCAGGGAGCCTGCTTCTCTCTCTGCTTCTGCCTGCCTCTCTGTCTGCCTGTGCTCGCTCGCTCTCTCTCCCTCTGTCCCTGACAAATAAATAAATAAAAAAAAATCTTTAAAAAAAAATGCTTTCTTAAAAGTTCAGGTCTCATAACAGGAGTAGAAAGTAACATATGAAACAAGAAGAGCAGCTCTCCTTAAATAACAAAAACTGTAAATATGGCTGAACAATTCTGTTCAACACAATTAAAGGCACACCACAGAGTAGAGTTATCAAAATAAACAATAATGATATACAGAGTTTTGCCTAGATGAAGTGACACCTAGCTGAGGGGGTAAAACATGGAGTTATGACATGCGGAGGTCAGATCTACAAATCTTAATATGATATCCAGGGGGTAACATGAACATACATGCACATATTTTCCCCTTTTATTCAATATAGCTAGATTCAAACAGATTTTGTGCTAAGCAGTGTTATACAGAAGACATAGTCTCTCTGGGATAGAAGAATTCAATGATTACAAAAAACAAAAAAACAAACAAAAACACACCTGGAATTAAGAATTCTTCTCCATAAAAAAGCATAGTGACATTGTAACCATGATCTTGAAGAATCTGAGATACCCGGTCCTGCAGTAAATAATGGCTTCCACCTAGGAAAAACACGAAATTTCATTTTGTAAAAATGAGAACAGAGGGTCTGAAACTGATGTGGTGGATAGAGAAATCTAAGGTAAGAGGGCAGAGAGTTGACTGTGAACAGAGGACAATGAGTTTCTTCAGTCCCCCTGTCTCACTTTGAGTAAGCAGCAGCCAAGACACCTACCCAGTGTGTGTCTAAATCCCAACCAGTGTAATTGTTCCATCAAGATTTCCTTTTGTGATTCATGGTCTCCATGTCACTGTGACAAGCTTCTCTACTTAGGCCTTAGGAGTTCCTGATCCTGGGTACATACTGATATTAGCCAGCTCTTATGGGGACACAGTGGAAATTAGGCACATTACTATGGAGGGGAATAGGAAGAGATCCCATTGACAATTGGTCAGAGATCTTTATGGAATACTTCCCTTAGGAAATTTATGTTAGAGTCAGACCCAGATACTGGGAACTTGAATATCAGACTGAGAAATAGCCATTGGAGCATAAGGAGGTAGACCCACCACTTAGAACCCAAATCCTGAGATTCAAAAATATTTGACAGGATGTTTCCAGTTGGAGCTTGTAAATTGCTGAGTATCAAATTAAGTCATTCAGAACAACTGTGGACCTTTAGATGGAACTACAGGATCCTACACATGATAGGTTTGGATATCACCCATCCTAATATTCCTGAGATTCTAATGAAGAGGAAGTTTGATCCTCTGGGGTGGTACAGGTTCTATCAATGCAATGACTGTGAAAGACCATAAGCCACCATGGAGATTTTTGTTGACTCTATGGGTCTCGGCAGCAGAAAAAGTCAGAGTAGGAAGAAAGCTATAGACTTTGCCCACGTGGGAAGTGAGGGTTATTTGGAAGATGAAGATCTCATGATTACTGAGTAGGCAAGAGGGATGTCAGACTACAATAACAGTGTGTATCTGTGGAAATTACTCTAGTCTTTTATATCTATACTGTGTTGGCTGAGGTAACGCCAGTTATATATAACACAAACCCCTATCCTCCTCAGACTGCCTGCGATGGATCACATTAAATCCTTGAGAAAAATGGATGGAGGGGAGAAGCCATCCACAGAGGCAGCCATTCCTGAGGGTATTGGGGAACCCAGTGCATTCTGGGCCAAAGGTGGGGCTTCCAGCTCTTCTAAACCATATGTGCTCCCTCCCAGAAGGACACATACTTTAAAAGTACTTTTTTTCTGCTACCTTTTTCACTAAAAATAGTTTTAAAATAGAAAAGAGTTTTTTTAAATACTGATTTTTATGAATCCCCACTGTAAAGTGTAGATTCTGAGGAAGAGGATCGGTTTGAGGTAAGAAATAGTGAGTAAAGTCCAAATGTGTCCATCAGGGAGGTCTGGTGTGCTCTTGCAAAATGCCCCTCATTTCCCTGACCCTCAGGTTCCTGGTCAGGAAATAAAATAGGGATATCCAATTAGATGAACTTGGTGGTTTCTTCTAGCTCTAGGATCCCCAGATACATAGGGATTTAAAGTGATCCCAATAGCCCCCTATCCTTTCACAGCGGATCCAAAATATTCTTGGGGGAAACTCCATCCTATGATAACTCTTTATCCTAATAAGTGCTCCTGTTGCCCTTCTGTTCCCATTGGGGAAAAGTAAGGGGAAAATTTCATTGACAAAATTAAATGCTTCACTGTCCTTTAAAAGCTTCCAGCAGCACGGGCAAAAGAGAGAGGGCTCTAAGAACTTGATTGTCCCGGGGTCCCTTCCTCTGTCCTGTAAGTCTTCCAGGTATCCTATCACTGACATATTTTTAGTCTGCCCTGTCTCCAAGAGCCTAAAACTGACCTCACCATCCACTTTCTACTGGTATCTACTCCACACCCCCAGATTTTTAGGGTGTGCCTCTGAAAGTATCTTCTTTGACTAGAGTAGATGGCTTAAGGTCTCCAGGTCAGTCTGGAACTAAATTCTGGCCCCAGATACACAATGGGAAACCCTTCCAGAGTGGATAAAATGAGAGGAAAGGAGACCACTGATTTCTCCACAACTATCTTCCCTATCCCCAGCAGTAGGGACCCCACTCTGACATGCCAGGCCCCCTCCCTCTTCTTCTTCCTCTAACCTGGGACTCAAGCCCTGTGAGGAAAACCACATAGAATGACCCTCTGACCTATGGTGTGTGCCTGAGTCCTAGAGCAGGTACATGAGGTGCACCTGACTCTGATTCTCCTGCCAAACACTCACCCAGTGAGAATGCAGTCAGAATTTTGATGGCCTCTGAGAGCAGGAACCCAGGCAGAAGGAAGCCTGCTAGCAACAACATTCCCTTCCCCGCCATGCTAGCTCCTGTACCAGCTGTGTCACCCAGCTCTGTGCCCAGATCCCTGGGCCCTGGGCTCTGCACAGTGACCTGTGGGCTCTGGGGACACGTGCTGCACTGGCAACCAAGGAAATGTGCTGACAGGCAGCTAGGGAAGAGGAGAGGGGTGGATCCCAACTGTCTTCTCTTCTGTTTGTCACTTCTGGCCTTCTGCTCCTCCTCCCAGGGTGCCTACTCTACTGGCCAATCTGTCCTCACCCTCTCTAACCTGGAGCGGTGAGAAGGAGGAGTTAGTGAACTCTCCTTAACCCCTCTCTGTCCTTGTAATCACTGCACTCTCCACAGAGAAGAGACTCTGAACCAGGAGTGTAGGGACCTTAGGAAGTCCCTTCCAAGATAGTTCCATCTCCAGGTGACTCAGTTCAATTTCCATTTTAGGGAACTTTTTATGAATTTTCCACGTCCTAACTGTTCTATTGACCTCATTGTGACATCCCCATGCCCCAATGCCCCAGGTACTTGCTTAAAATCTTTGCTAGTGTTCCAATATCAAGATGCCCAAAGCTGATTCCCAAAGAAAAACTGCTTACACTTATTGCTCAAAGAGTTTCTTTGGAAAATAACCTGTTGATGACAAGTGCCAGGGTCCTCTAAGTATTAAGCTCCACTAGAAGGCTAGGTCTTGACCTGAAGTACTAAGTCTCTAAAGGTCAGTCTATAATTCTGAATGGGCATGATAAAACAAGACTGGGTGGTGGGCACCAAGAAGTTCTAATCTTATAAATGCTTGAAATTATTTCTTAGAAAGATTATAAAACTCTCCAAACATTATTCCAGTTTTCCCTTATACTATGTGATTGCATGCATGTGCATTCACAATTATCATCCGTTCAGGTATTCTATCTTCCCTATGAAAAACTTAATCTGCATTAGGAAGGCACCATTTAATGATTATCTAATCACCGTATTTTATCTACAAACCTTATTCTAATCCCTCCACTTGTCTGATTAATATCCTATGATGTGATATGAATTTGCTGGTGCAGGAGCCAACCCAGGATCACTTATTACATTTACTTATCATGTCTATTCATATCCTTTAGTGAGGATTGGTTCTCACCCCTTCTTTGTCTTTCATATCATTGATATTTTAAAGAGTACAAGCTGCTTATTTTGTGTGATGGATCCCAAGTTAGATTTGCCTGATGTTTCTCCCTATACTTCAGGAATACTACAAAGGTTTTGTTGATTCCATCTCAGTGAGTCACGATGGGAAGCACGTGATGTCAGATGGTCCTGTCATTAGAGATGATAACTCTATCCTTTGTTTAAGGGGGTACTCACCAAGATTCTCCACTGTAAAGTTGTTATTTTGTAACCCTATAATTAGGAAGATGTGGGGAGACATTTTGAAGCTGTGTAAATATTCTGTTTCTATCAAATTTCACTCACTCATTTTATCATCTTTCATATTTCTTACCTGAAGCAATCATTGCTGTCATGATGGCTAATCAATTATTTTAACTGAATTTTTCTTTCCTTTGTTCATATAACATTGTATTGTTACAAAAACCTTTCTCTTTCCCCCTCTATCTGGATATCGATCCATCCATCCATCAATTTATTTACCTATCACCTATCTGTATCAATTTGTCATTATTATTTATTCACCAATTTATATTTATTTAGTGGTCTATCATCTTTTACTCTCACCATGTGTTGGGTTACTCCTATTTAACCTCGGCCATTTTGGAACTTTTTCTTTATTTCTTGCACATAATTTCTTGACTCCTCTTGTACTTTTCTTGTCTCTGTCTTAAATTCTTCCATTTCTCAGTTCTTTTTTAGTAAGAAATGGTACTTAGAAACCTGGATATGGTTGGCAGAAGTGCTCATTGTTAATGAAGCTCCATTGTTTATAACTGTTTTCTGTGGACGGAGTTATTAGATAGATACAGATATGAACAAAATTTTACATATGTACATTGCCATGTTTGTATTTGTGAAAAATTGTGAATTCATACTGATACCTTCCATTCCAATACACCATTACAGAGGTGATTTTAAGCCTTTCCATTTCCACATTAGTAAATTCCCCTTCTAAGACTGAGAAATCTCCTTTCAACATCTTTGGTATATTTATTCATTTGCTCAGTCGTGCTATGCACTGGAAAAAGTTTACCATATACTCATCCACCAACTGTGAATATCAGCCCTACCCAACAGACTACTCAAAAAATAGTCTTCTCAAAAACAGACGTTTTGCAGTTCTTTTTTCCTTTAGATTGACAAGACAGATATTCAAAGCAATATGTACAAAATGCAGTTCTGTTCACTCATGTTTTTTAGTACATGAAATTATGTTACACTTGAAAGCGTTTGAGGGGTGCCTGGGTGACGCAGTTGGTTAAGTGTCTGCCTTCAGCTCTGGTCATTTTCTCAGCATCCTGTGATCAAGCAGGCATCAGGCTTCCTGCTAAGCAGAGAGTCTGCTTCTCTCTCTCTCTCTCCTCCCTCACTTTACCCCTCCCCACTGCATATTCTCTCTCTCTCTCAAAAAAAAATAAAATAAAATCTTTAAAAGAAAAAAAGAAACATTTGAGTTCTCTTCTTTCTGTTTGTATTCCATTATAGAGTTTTCTTCTCCATTATTTTTGTTTTAAATAAAATTTTTTATGTAAAATACTAATGTGCTTTGGAAAACCAAACTATGTAAACAAAGAAATCACTAGGCCTGCATTTGTTTCCCTGACCTTCATGCTATTCAAAAATAGCTTTATAGATAATCTATCACATCTATCTATCTGTCTTTTCCTTCCTCTCTTTTTTTTTTTTGCAAAGGAATGCAGATAGATTTATATTTTTACTCTCTCTCTCCTTTCTCTTCTCTTAAAAAGTTAGCTTACTATATTTATCTTTAGACTATATTCTTTCTTACTTTGTAGATTACAATCCATTCACCATATGTTTAAAGTTGTCTTGTTCAGGGGTGCCTGGGTGGCTCGGTGGGTTAAGCGGCTGCCTTCAGCTCAGGTCATGATCTCAGGATCCTGGGATCAAGTCCCACATCAGGCTCTCTGCTCGGCAGGGAGCCTGCTTCCCTTCCTCTCTCTCTGCCTGCTTGTGATCTCTCTCTGTCAAATAAATAAATAAAATCTTTGGGAAAAAAAATAAAGTTGTCTTGTTCAGTATACTTTATAGCTGCCTACCATTTTGATGTGTGCATTTACCTAGCATAGGTAAATTTACATAGCTTTATCCCATAACTTTAATAGTTTTTTAAAATGTTGGGAATACTAGTCCTGTATATGTGATGAAAGTTACATATATTTCTCTATTTCCTTTTTTTGAGGAAGGTGGGAAGAAGTTTCCTATATTTACTTGTTTTTTCCTTTTTTCTTAATTAATGAATCATTGAACACTACATATGTACTAAATACAGTTCATACTAAATACAGTTCATATATAGTTTTTGATGCAGTGTTCAATGATTCATTAGTTAAGTATAACATTCAGTGCTCATCACAACACATGCCCTCCTCAATACCCATCACCTTGTTACCCACCTCCTCCTACCCTCCTCCCCTCTGAAACCCCCAGATTGTTTCTTGGGGTCCATAGTCTTTCATGGTTCATCTTCCTCTCTGATTTCTCCCCCTTCAGATTTCCCTCCCTTCCCCTATGGTCCTCTGTGCTATTGCTTATGTTCCACATATGACTGAAACCATACGATAATTGTCTTTCTCTCCTTGACTTACTTCACTTAATGTAATCCCCTCCAGTTCCATCCATGTCAGAAAGGTATTCATCCTTTCTGATGGCTGAATAATATTTCATTGTGTATATGTACTACTTCTTTATCATTCATCTGTTGAAGGGCATCTCAGCTCCTTCTACACTTTGGCTATTGTGGACATTGCTGCTATAAACTTTGGGGTGCACATGCCCCTTCTTTTCAATACATCTATATCTTTGGGGTCAATACCCAGAAGTGAAGTTGCTGGGCCAATGGTAGTTCTATTCTTAACATCTTGAGGAACCTCCATACTGTTTTCCAGACTGGCTGTACCAGCTTGCATTCCCACCAACAGTGTAAGAGGGTTCCCCCTTTCTCCACATCCTTGAATTTGTTGCTTCCTGTTTTGTTACTTTTAGCCACTCTAACTGGTACAAGGTGGTATCTCATTGGGGTTTTGATTTGTGTTTCCCTGATGGCTAGTGATGTTGAGCATTTTTTCACGTGTCTGTTAGCCATTTGTATGTCTTTTCTGGAGAAGTGTCTGTTGCACTATTAGTTTTTTGAGTGTTGAGTTTGTATTTTGGCCCTACTTGTGGTGATTTAGCCATGCAAAAAAGCTTTAATGTTGTCAAATTACATTAGTTGACTTTTCTTTGTGGCATCAGGATTTTTAAGTCGCATTTTGAAAGTCTTACCATACATCCTTGTTATGGAGAAATTCACCTTTTTCTGTTAGACTGAGTATGTTGTCGTTTTTGTATTAAATATCTAATATGTTTAAAGTCAACTTTTAGATATGTTGTGAGATATGGAGCAAATACTGTCTTTTTTCTAAAAGATTATTTGGTCATCTTAGCATTGTTTGCTCAAGCTACCATGCCATGTGCTATAACAACAAGATAAATAGAACCCAATTCCTGACTGTCAGGGTCTTAGAGTATCTAAATACAGACACATAAATGTTAAAAATTTCAATATAGCAAGAAAAATGCTTCAAAAGAGGATATACATTGAGCTCTGCTGCGAGCACCAAAGTCAAGTCCAGTCACGCTAATGTGAACATAAAGGTGAAGTAAATCTTTGCTAGGAAGAACATGTGGAAGTTTTTTGTTCCAGTGAAAGCTGAATGGCATTTCTGAGAGAGGACAGAGCTAGGTCAAAGACAGAAGGGTACAAAAAATATGATGTGTTGGAGTAGGTGAAAAAAAACTTCCCTCCTTAGATAGATTGTATCAGGATCCTCTGAATCCTCTTCCAGACTAAGATTCAACTTTGACCT